AATCTTCCATAAAAAACTGCACGAGACATAAGATATGCGCCAAAATTGAATTAATACAACGGTTAATTGAAGGTCCGGATACAGTATTACTTCAAAAATGGAATTCATTTATTAATTGAGTTTTTAATAAAAACCAGCTTACACACTTCGTGAGCAATCAGCTAGTTGAATATTCCTTAACAAATTGTACCGCTCACTTCGTAACCAGCAGAGGATTTTGCGACGTTTTACATTACAAAACAAATTTTGGTTTGAATTCGGAAATATTAGTCTCATCACATAAAGAGGCTGATACCAGAATAATATTACACATTCTGTCAGCAAAAATGGAGGGATATACAAAATGTAAAGTCGACTGTAAAGATACCTATGTGCCCATTTTAAAGACCTTTCAACTCCAGAAGTTTAGATGAGGGTTGGAACAAAAGACAACGAAAGAGTTATAGGTATCCACGAACTCTCTATGGATTACTCCCTAAGGAAATGTTGACCAGCCTTTCATGTTGGAAGGTATTTCTATCAAATTATAGTCTTCTATCTAGAGTGAGAAGTGAAGAATATTTGAGCAAAGAAGTTTTCGATGATATGATATTGTTAAATCTGTCATTCTTCTTTATACACCCAACGACAATATTAAGTGTATTAATACTCTAAGAGGTATTTTGGCCACTACGAAACCTATTCATAAACTGCCTCCTACTTTAGACAGTCTGAGGCAACACTGCCTTCGTATAAACTTCCAGACGAAAATATGGCTATGTAGTGCGACACCAAGACCATATCTGCCGAATCCGTTGCTAAGTGGCTGGAGTAAACAAAATGGAGAGCTGGTACCAGTTTTAAGTACGGAACCCATGTTGACGAAAGATACATATATTCTGAATAGTTGTAAATGTAAAAAAGGTGAGTCAAATTTTGCCTTTTTATGTGAAGAATAATTATATTAGTTTTTTTTTTATAATTTTCAGGATGTACAGGGCCCCAATGCTCGTGTAAAAGGAAACAGATCAAATGCATTGGTTCTTGTAAATGTGTGGCCCAGGCGAAATGTGGCAATAAAGGTAATATACGTGAAACAATTTTAACCGTAGAAGATGTTAGTTCTTCTGAGAATACTGAAGAGTCTGACTTAAAATAAGATAACTAACATAAGATATCTAGTGAGTAAGAAATAGGTAAGTACATAGATTTAATTGTTTTTATTACTATCCTTTGTTCTTGAATCAGAAATGTATTGCCAAGGAAAACCGATGCCATTTTAGATGTGTATATTCCAAGCTTTTGATCTTTAACCACTTTACTAAGTCCTTAGTAAGCTTTATAATAATAACAATAATCTGTACGAAAATTTTTGGGGATACGGGAGACCTCTACATACTAAGTCACCTAGGGCTCGATAACACAGAAAGAGTCCCACCAGAGCTCAATCCTTTTGATATCGTAAGTATCTGAGATAAGAGTATTTTCCCCTTTGAGGGAGTGCAAGCCGTATGGCTAAATCTGGATAATATTAATAATTTAATAATAATAATAATAAGTATCCAACCTTAAAGATATACAACAATACCTATTATGATAACATAAATACTAATATATATTTTATCACTTAACACATACAGTATTTTAAAAGTGTTCTGACAACAAAACGAGAAAAAGAAGTCACTATTTACGCTAGCAGTATTCATCCTCCTTATAATCAGCATCACAATGAAAAAAACGACCATAACAACATCGCCATCAATAGAGTCGATTTGCGGTTGACTACGGCACAGGAATCTCGCCCTTCCTCGCATCTCTGCGTTCAGCACTGTCCGTCGTGACATGCCGTTCGATTTATTTAATTCTTTCTTAAACTAATTATCCAATCGATATTCTAAAAAAACCCACGTGTTCTCTGATTTTTGGTCTATAATGTTTATAGAAAGTAATTTTTTGCTAAACCCAATATTTTTCGAGGTAGAGCGAGGTAAAAGATTTTAAAAATATGGGTTTTCAGAACAAGTGATTTTGTATGAAGGCGCTCCGTATACAACAATGGTTTGACGTATTTTTATAAATAAAATAAAAAATATTTCTAATGTCCAGATGGATATGCAAATTTGACGAATGAATGTTCGGATATTGTACATCCGAAAAACGATGAAAAAAAAATAATTGCATTTTTTTTTGTAAGGCTCCCTACCCTTCCCCCTCCCCTTCGATTTTTGGACGACCAAGTGATTTTGCCTTACAAAGCTATTAAAAACCAAAAAAAAATGGGTTTTACATTTTAGCAACAAAGTTCCCACGGGATAACACAATGGGATCCTGTTTAAACTATACTATATTGAGTTGAATTTTCTATATTATTTCAAATAAACAATTTAAAGTTTTTGTTTCAAAATAAAACGTAAATTATGTCGAAATAAAACAGATGGCAATAAACGAACATTTTCTTTCAATTTCTTGTCATATTGATAGATTGAATCAGTTAAAACATAAAACAAAATATACTTTTAACAAATGTCTACGGCATTTTTACGCCTACTTCGTTAATATTGCTATCAATTAGTATTTTTGGTTTTATATTACATGTTTACTCACAAAAGACAAGTATTAGCAGCAGATGTCTTATCATTGTTAAAAATATATTGTAATATGTTATTATATTAGATAAAATAAGTGTTCAGTTAAATTTATTTCAAAAGAAGCTATTTCAAACGGTGCTTTGTGATATGTGGAATGTTTCCTTGAAAATGCATTAAATGAAGAAATAGTTCTTATTAAATTATGTATATTATTATTAAAAAAAATTGACTTATTTATATTTCTCATATTTTTTAACCAAAAGACTTGCTTCTACCAATTCTCCTTTGTCTTTAGATTTTTTGACCGATCATAATAAGTTGGAGAATATTATAAATATTACAGCGACTTTCCTGTACCAGGTGTCCGTTCTATGCTACACTGCACACCAAAATTAACGCATAATTTTGAAAACCCTGGTAAATTAAATAATTTTAATGTTTCGATTTTTGTGCTAATATATTATCGTTACCCCCGGTATATTGTAAAATTTATCGAAAGAACGGTAAAAAAACGCTGATGTTATTATCATTTTTTTGCAAAAAATTAAAAACATGCTAATTGTGCTTCATTTTATTTCGAATTTAGTTGGGTTGGATTTCGTTGTGCTGAACGTTTAAAGAGGTTTTTCAAGTTTATTAAGTGTTTTTTCTTTGAAATGAACCACCCGCATCCAGAAAATCGAAATTTGTCAGAAAGTGACTGTTTTAGAATCGTTACTCTTCGCGAAGAAGGATACACTCAAGTAGAACTCGCTGAACGTTTTAACGTCACCCAGTCAACAATTTCAAGAGTGTTAACACGTTTTTCTGTTACTGGAAGTAACTCGAGAAGACCCGGTCAAGGCCGTAAAAGGGTTACAACTCCTAATCAAGACCGGTTTTTGACACTTCGTACACTGAGACAAAGGTTTGTTTCCAGTACTTCTCTACAAAATGAATTTTTGGATCGTTATAACTTTAGAATCAGCCAAAATACAATTAGAAGAAGACTTGCCGAAAACGACCTAAACCCTGGAAGGGCACCAATTGGCCCATTATTGACCAGACACCATAGAAGGCAAAGATTGAATTTTGCTCGTGAACATGTTGATTGAAATAATGACGATTAGGGAAGAATATTGTTCACCGATGAATCCAGGTACTGTCTTTTTTCTGATGACAGGAGAAACCGAGTGTATAGAAGGCCTGGGGAACGCTACGCACAGTGTAACACCGTAGGGACTGTACAGTATGGCGGCGGCTCGGTAATGGTATGGGGTAAGATTAATTTAGAGGCTCGTACGGAATTAGTTAAAATAAATCACGGTCGGCTTACATCGCAGAGGTATATAACAGACATTTTAGAAGAGCATGTCGTGCCATTTGTACCATTTATTGGGGATAATTTCATGCTTAGGCAAGATAATGCCAGGCCACACACGGCAAGAATTGTGCAGCAGTATCGTCAGGAGGTTGGAATTCCTGCCATGGATTGGCCTGCGAGAAGTCCTGACCTTAACCCAATAGAACATGTTTGTTACACCAAACACATTAGATGCACTGTTTTTGCGGTTGGTTGAAATTTGGGATCAAATTGATCAAGAAGAAATCAGAACGATTATTCTCAGTATGAGAGATCGTTGCCAAGCAATAATAAATGCCAGAGGAGGCAATACTCGATACTAGTACACGGTAGTAGTATTTTCTTCAACTTTAAAAACTTTTTCTTCATTAATTTATGATGTTGATTTGTTTAGATCAGTTCGTTTAGATGTTATGATTTATGTTAGGATGTTATATTGTTAATTTCATACATTTTTTGTAAAAAAAGAATAGTTTTACTTAAGATGTTCTAAAACAACCATAAAGCAGAAAAGAACAAACAAAATTTTTTTCATTACAACTCAAAATAAGAATTTTAAAATTATGCGTTAATTTTGGAGCGCAGTGTATTTTTCTCGGTTTGACGCTATCAATTAACGTAACGAGTCACGTCTGTAATTTTAAGAACTGCTTAATTTCTTTGTATGTATTTTGAGTATTCTGTCTACGATGAGTTTGTAAGTGGCAGAGTACTCGTTTCTCCTGGTGTTACGAAATCGGCTCCCAAGACATAAGGATGCAGAAAGATGCGGAAGGATGCGGAAAGACATAAGGATCATGAAGAGTAGAACGTTTAAAGAAGATATGCCATGTGCCTAGCAACTGATGCAGTCAAATCCCCACGTTTGACGATATACAATCACTGACCGGCCACGGAACTCGTTCGATACCTATCTCAAGCCCCAAATACTTTTAATCGATTTCTTCATTTAATACTTTAATTTCAAGCGAATTCAAACACCCCAAATAAAAGTAATTACTCTGTAATAGAAGCAAATGGACACCGAATAACTTACCACCATCCACAGTCAATTTAAAATCTAAAATAAAAGAGCAAACCAACAAAATTACCTTGAGATTGATACGATCGATTTGCCTATTTTGATTTTCCAACTCCGAACCCATGTCGATAGCCATGTTACGCAGATTACCGATCATGGTGTTGACTTGGCTGACGTTTTCTTCCATTTCGTCCTCTCGCGCGTCGTTCGTGATCCTGCCGATGTATCCGCCTTGAGGGCCCATTCCGTTACGATCGTCCATCATTCGTTGTGGCTGGTTGTTGACGACTTTGCCGTCGTCGTTGCCCTTCCACGTTCCTTCGTCTTCTTTGAACGATGAGCCCCTATAACATATGAGATATAAGTGTTTAACACCTTCACGGCGGTTCGGGACCCCGAGGTCCTGTACATGTCATGATCTAAAATTTTTGTAGTAATCTTTCTTGACTTTCCCAATATTCGAAAGGCGTATTTCCACTATTAGTCAACAGATGTCGATAGTTCAAAGAGCGCCTTGTGTAAAATTTCGCGGCAAATCTCATAGTAACCGAAATGAAGTTCGGGACCCGGGAGACCCTAGCCGTATTATGATAATAATTTTGATCGTAACACGGTACGTACCGCGGAGGTCTTCCGATCTTTTTAAGTTTTTTGTCAAAACTGCAGTATTGTATTGATCTTTGAAGGTAAGTTATTAGTACCTATATATTTATTTATAGTTTTTAGACAAAAATACATTCAAATTACTATGTTTTGGTTTATTTTGCAATCTAAACCATTTTAGACACAGATGTTTTTCCATTTTTTCATAATTGAATACTGTATGATTCTATTTGTAAGACACAAGGTAGAATCTATATAAAATATATATATATATATATAAAATATATATATATATATATATATATATATATATATATATATATATATATATATATATATATATATATGTGTGTGTGTGTGTGTGTGTGTGTGTGTGTGTGTGTGTGTGTGTGTGTGTGTGTGTGTGTGTGGAAGATGCTTTAGATTGTAAAATAAACTTTTAATTGTTTATTTCATTGCACTTTGCATTTTATACAAATGTATTTTTGTTCCAGTGTTTCAAAAATGAACAGAAGAGCGACCAAAATATTAAACCTAGCTCTTGAAACTGAAAAAGAAAACCAATCTTCTCAACCAAAAGTCATTGTACAGAAACTAGTAGATTATGACGAGTCACCTGTCTGTTCTGTTTTTTCGGAAGAATCTCATAATAATCCATTACAAGAGCAAAATGATATTTATTTTGGAATGGTTACAAGAGTTACTCATGAAAAAACAGTAAATCAAGACAATTATATCATGGAAGATGTGTTCGAAGAAGAAATGGAATATGACCCCTCTGAGAAGACTGCTATGTGTGAAAGAACTAATATCGAAGTATCAAGTGATAATGACGATGAGCCATTTTCTAGTGACGATTCTATAATAGATAGAAACTACATGCCGTCTTCTGAAGAAGAGTCAATTTCTGAAACAGAATCAGATTTATTTTCTGTCTCAGATGCAGGGGATCAAGATAATCAATACTCTGAGCAAAATGTCACTAACATTCAAAGTCAACAATGTGACCTATGGGGGCCTATTTTTCCGAAACTCGACCCATTTGTAACAAATTTTACACAAAAGTTAAATGTTAATATGAAAAATATCAAAGAACCGCTAGACGCTTACAGACTTTTTTTAACCGACGATGTTTTGGAACTGATTGTTAGAGAAACTAATATGTATGCAATCCAAAAATTAGATATTTCCAAGAAAAATAAGAAAAGAGTTGAATGGAATGATACCGATAAAAATGAAATTTTATCATTTTTCGCAATAATTTTAACAATGGGCTTAGTTCCTTTGCCGACACTTAGTGCTTATTGGAGTAGAGACGAAATGTTTCACAATGCATTTGTAAGTTCCATCATGCCCCGTGATAGATTTTTAACATTGCTCAAATATCTACATTTTTCCGATAACATGGTTGCCAGTGAAAATAGGCTCTGCAAAGTAAAACCATTGCTCGATATACTGCTGGAAAACTTTAAGTCTGTCTTGACACCTGGCCAAGAGATTATAATAGATGAAAGCATGATTCCTTGGAGAGGCAGATTGTTATTCAAACAATACATTCCGAATAAAACACATAAATATGGAATCAAACTATACAAATTATGTACAGTAGATGGGTATACGCACAATGTGATAGTTTATGCAGGTAAAAACTGCGATCCGGTTAATATTAGCAGTAACAGTCATTCAGAAGACATTGTACTAAAATTAATTTTAAGTTTAGACCAGAAGGAGGGCAGAACCTTATACGCTGATAATTTCTATTCCAGCATTCCTTTAGTGAAGGAATTGTATCAAAGAAATATTAAATACTGCGGAACACTTCGATCTAATAGAAAAGGGATTCCAAAATCTTTTGAAAGAAAGATGAAAAAATCTGAGGTGTATGGAGAAGAAAGTGGGAATTTAAGAATAATAAAGTGGATAGATAAGAGACCAGTTTTGATGATCACATCTGATGCCACACATGAGGCGATTCTTGTAGAAACTGGTAAAAAAGATAGAAAAGGGAATGAAATAAAAAAACCAAAATGTATTACTGATTACAATAAAGCTAAAAAAGGTGTGGATATAAGTGATCAAATGTCCGCCTATTTTACGGTTTTGAGGAAATCGCTAAAATGGTATCGAAAGCTTTGTTTCGAGTTGCTTTTTGGAACGTGTGTTGTAAATGCATGGGTTGTTTTTCAGTTAGCCACAGGAAAAAAGTTGTCTATGATGCAATTTAGAAGGCAATTAGCTCGGTCGTTAGTTACTACGGATACTGGAGATAAAATAAATAAAACACCAAAACGAAAAATCCATACATTTGTAAAACCGGAGGGTAAAGGACGCAAACCAAGAAAAAAGTGTGTAGGATGTTATACAATGTTACGGAAATCACTTTCAAGTCGAGAAGCGGATAAGAAAGTTAGAAAAGTAATCAGCTATTGCGCTGATTGTACAGGTCAGCCAGGATACTGTTTACCTTGTTTCAACGAAAATCATGTAAATTAATTTTTAATGCATATTTGTTAATTTTGTCCAAGTATTTCTTTTATAAATAAAATACACATTTTTCTTTTAAAAATTAGTCTTATTTTTTATTAGTCTTAAAATTAGTCATATTTTTTATTATATTTATTTCCTGATAAAACCTTGTATTTAATACAGAATTGTCGACATTTATTTCACATATTAGATTTTTAAGAATATTTGTTTATATGAAAAAAACAATGTAAAAAACGGCACTATTAGGGACGCCGGAGGCCCGAATCGTATATGAATACAATCTTGATACAGGACGCCCGGGGCCCGAATCGTATTGTAATACTTTCAGTGGAAATAACACCCGTCGTGAATGTGTTAATGATCAAATATGATTACCAAATAACAAAAATAACACGATCGATGGAATAAGATGTCAATGATTAATTGGTATTTTGCACCATATTAATCACTGGTTGGTTCTAGCCTGTGCCGGGGAGAGTACACGCAACATTGAACACATAAAAACAATAGTGTACCAGTGAACTCAAAAGCTAGACAAGCCTCTGTCGTTTTTGCTCTCTCTCTTAGCCACCACGTAAATATACGCCTGCTTCAAGACCATTTGTGTTATCTCGAACCAGCATGTTGCCGAAACGAGCATGCTATTATCAACGAGGATAGTGACAAGTACGCTTTAGCCTACTAAAAACATAGGTACACTGAAGCAATGGCAATATAATTTTCACAATCAGAAATATCGAGTTCTGGATCACTCTAGCGATATTTTTATTCGCGCTATGCGGTTTATTCTGTTTTTTTTAATTATAAATACATTATGTGAAAACTGGCAACTTTAACCTATTATATTGTGGAAAGCAACAAGATCTGTAGTGATTATGCACAACAAAATGATACATTTTACACGGTCAAATCTATGAAAGTGCTTTTTCTCAAATATCTTATAGAGCTCTTGGTTTTTTTGATTTCCCAACACACATAGGCATCAATCGGTAAGTGAAATTAATGAAATTGTTTACATTTTTCGATAAAAATTTACTTTTTATTGACGAAATTATTAAAACTGTCAGCCGTTTCGGTTAAACGATGTTTCGGTTAAAAAGGTTTCGGTTAATAGAGGTTTTACTGTATAAATAATTAATATAGAGGCAATATTTACAATTAATTAAAAAATTTTGACTTTATTAAAGCAGATATATAAATATTTTCAAGTGTAAACCTTATGGTAATGATATAATAACCAATAGAGGGCGATACTTGTTCAGCTACACGGAGCAAACATATTCAACTTTGTCATAAACGATTTTATTTACTAAAACGGAACGCCGTAGGTCATCCAGATCATCCACTAGCCTCATTAAAGATTCTACTCTTTTCATCACGACCATTTCCTTTTCAACAGATTCAGTCAACACTTTTTAATAAACGTCCCTCTTAAGAGCGAAAAGGCAAAGATTCGCAATAGGGATATAAAAGAACCTTTTAAGTTGATTTAGGAAATCCGAAGGCAGACGTCAGTGTACGTTTGAACTTGAACTGAATACTAGCAAGGGTATTGATTTTATGCACGCAAGGGAAAATCTGAATAGAAATGTTTGAGGACTTAAAGACTTTATTTTTAGATATTTTTATATTAGTTAAAGAGTTTAAGGAATTTTCTGATGTTAATAAAATATTCAGGCTACAATATGGCTACAAAACTAATGGAAGAGTACAAAAAATGGGGCCTCGAAGTAAATTTACAAAAAACGCAATATCTTTGCATAGGAGGAGAAAATACTGCAGATGACCTCGACTTAGAGACGGGAAAATTAAGAAATGCGATCCAATGTATATATTTGGGGGTAAAATTAACAAAGACAGGAAGAACTGATGAAGCCATAAAAGACAGAATAACCAAAGGGAAACGAGTTATAATAGGTGCATTGAATTCAGTACTCTGGGAAAAAATATAAGACCGGAAACGAAAAAAAGAATATATAATACCATATTGAAACCAGTAATCGTCTATGGCTCAGAGGTATGGCAGTTATCACAAAAACTTAAAGGTAACCTATTGGCAACTTCCTACGACTAATAATGGAAGGGAAAGCGGAAGTAAGAAGAGGTCCAGGAAGAAGAAAATGCTCCTGGTTGAAGAATGTAAGAGACTGAACAGCATGGACACACATTCGATAGTAAGAACAGCTCAAGATAGAGAGCAATTAGCTGTAGTTATAGCCAACCTTCAGTAATGGAAAATTTGCAGTTTGCAATTGGCAGTTTAAAAGGATTTTTGAAGGAGAGCAGCGGTAAAGTCTAGATTGGAACATGTGAGAAATGAGGACATAATGAATTAAATTAATGTACAAAGATCAATTATAGAAGACAACTAAAAACAACAACTAACATGGTAAGGAAATGTTAGACGTATGGGGGAAAAAAACTAGAAGAATATTAGAATAGGTACCACCAGAGAAAAGAAAACTAACAAAGTTTTTTTAGGTAGTCAATCCACTACATTGCTAAATGTAATATACAAAATTCTTTCTGGTGTAATTTACAATAGATTATTAGAATACTTCGAAAATATAATTGGTGATTATCAAAATGGATTCAGACCAAATAGAGCCACTACAGATAACATATTCATACTAACGATACAAGAAAAAGCTTATTAATACGACATAGTATATAGACCTATAGCCTATATAATATGTATATAGACTTTAAACAAGCTTTTGATAGTGTGAAAAGAGACAGAATGCTGGAAGACCTTTGTAATCTAGGTATACCTAAGAAATACATCAGCCTCATAAAAATGACGTTGCAGGGTTCAAAAGCCGCAGTCAGAGTAGATGGAGAACTGACTCCCCTGTTTAACTTCAACATGGAGTAAGACAGGGAGATGCCCTATCAACCATGCTATTCAACCTAATTCTTGAGACAGTCATCAGAAAAACCAATATAACCGGCCATATAAACACCGAATCAATACAAATTACTGCATATGCAGACGATTTAGCCATTATTAGTAGGAATAAGCCACGACTAATGGAAGTGTTCAAACAAATTGATCCTGAAGCATGAAAAAGAGGTCTCAAAATAAACGAAGCAAAAACGAAGTATATGACAGTCAAAAGAATAACTGACAATGAAAATAATATCACAATAGACAACTATACTATCGAACGAGTGGATGCCTTTACATATCTCGGCACAGAAATCAATCAGAGGAACTCTGTAAGTAGCGAAATTAATGCACGTATTTCCAGCGGGAATCGTACATATTATGTAATAAAAGATTGATGCCATCGAAATTATTAGACAAAAGAACCAAAATGACTATCTACAGAACACTGATTAGACCCGTAGTAACCTATGGATGTGAAACTTGGGTAATGACGAAACAAGATGAAACCCAACTCAGGACATTCGAGAGAAAAATACTGAGGAAAGTATATGGCCCGGTACAAGAGGAAGATCGCACATGGAGAATCAGGAGAAACGACGAGGTTAATGAGCTAAATGAAGGTTATGACCTTGTAAGATTTGTGAAAAGTCAAAGACTGTCATGGCTGGGACATGTGCAGAAACAAAACGATGCAAAAACAACAAAGAAATGTTACAATGGAAGCCCATAGGAAGGCGAAAAAAAGGAAGGCCCAGAACGAGATGGTTGGATGACGTGGAAGACGACCTGAAAACAATGAACATAAGACAATGGAGAAGAAGGGCACAAGAGAGATCTGTATGGAAGGACATAGCCAGACAGGCAAAGACCCATCCAGGGCTATGATGCCAAAAGAAGAAGAAGAAAAAGGTAGTCAATCCACGTATCCTTTGCTATGTGTTTTGGTTCTATTATTTCCTTTACCTCCGTTGTTTGACCTCTTATGAAGCGCCATATTTCCTTTTGCAGACCGTAAAAATCATGTCCCATTTCTTTCGAAAAGCGTTCCCGGTGATCATTTTTTATTTTTCTTACAAGTGTATGTGTTTTGTTTCTAATTGACTTGTAATTATGGTATGCCTCTTGTCGTATTTCAGGTAAGCTTTTCCTTTACATTTTTCTTAACTTTTGTACAAAACCATGGAGTTCTTCACCTCGGAAACGATTTATTTTTATTTATATTTCTTTCACCAAGAATTTCCTTGGCTGATGCTAAGATATTAGACTTAATTTTTGCTCAGCTTTCTTCGACTCCATCACTTTCTGTGATATATCTGTTTCTGATTTTTTAGGTTATACTTTTTTGGAAAAGGTATCTTGTGGAGTCATCCTGTAAGCTTTCGACTTTTATCTTTGTGGTGTATTATGGTGTTTTGTTATCACATATATGTGTTTTCATCCAGATTTTACACAATACCAATTTATGATCGGTTTCTATTTCTGCTGATGTTAGTTGTCTTATATCCAAGATTTGAGAGAGTTGTAACTGTCTATTTGACAGAATATAGTCTGTCATAGATCTTTGTCCTCTACTCTTTTTAAAAGTGAATTTGTATTGTTCTTTGTGAGGGAAAATGTATTATTAATACGTATCTCGTTTATGTTGCAGAGGTCCGTTAGAAGGTCTCCGTTTTCATTTCTGATATTTTATCAGAAGTTAAAATCACCCATAATGATTATATATTCATCATTTGGAGTTTCGTTTATTACAGTCTGAAGGTGTTCGTAGAAGTTTTCCCTTGTGGTGGTATCTCTGTTGTCCTCTGGTGCATAGATTGCTATCACATTCAGAGGTTTCATATCCAGTTTAATTTTTACACTTACTATTCTTTCAGAGGTATATTTACTATATAATTTATTATATTATACTATTTATTATATCTTTAGAGGTATATTATTTTTTGTACTTGGTGTAAAAAATATTAAATTGGTGTCAAACATATTAAATACGGAAAACCGCGTTTCTCGAAATTTCTGGAACATTTATAAACTTTATAGACTAAATAGTAGTTGGAGTCAAAAAATTTGGGAACACATATTTACTGAGTCACAAAACTGAAGTAATGAGTTAAGAGAATACCTACTGATACCCATGATAAAGAAGCGAATGAGAGAACATTTGCCACTTCAGAAAACCTTGAGGAGTAAGTTTAAAAGAAGGTTTGCATAGCGTGGTATAACTCTTGACATATTTAAAAATGTTTTTGGCTTGTTTTACAAGACACCTACTGTTCAATCACAAATTAGTTCATTAATTTCTAATCTCAAATTAATCTTAATTTCCTAAATCTGTATAGTTTGACCGTGTATAATTGTGAAACATATCGATTAGTAGCTTAATTACAGTTTGTTCAAGTTCCTGCAAACTATTGCCTGATATTATTAAGGAAATGCCCGCAATCATTTCCTCGGTTCAAATTATATTTGCTATCTTTCAAAAGGCAAAAGTTTTTGTCTATGCAGAGGGCAATACACTTAATTGATGAATCGTAGCATTTTAGTGAGATTATAAATATAGCTTCGGGACTAGTGTGGACGTAATCTTTTATAAATTTTTACCGCAACAACTAGAGTGTAATCATTCAGGAGCTATCAATAAAACTATATTTTACTCCACGACTTCAATATTTTATTTTATCATCGTCGATCGAGAAGGATCGGACAAAGGGAATTTAGAAACAATTCGAACTTATAATTACATTCTAATTTGTTCACCTACTCTGTTATATGGATATGAAAGATGCGTGATGTCGCAAAAAATTAACCATATAATTCAAGTTATAGAAAGGAAGGTAGATAGAGAAAGGAAGTCGCAAGACAAGAACTGAATATCTAACTGTGGTGCAAAAAATATTAAATACAGAGTAGGTACCGCGATTCTCGAGAATTTCTAGAACATTTTTAAATAGGAAGTTAATCCTTTATAGACTAAATTGTAGTCTACCCAAAAAAATTGTGCACATTTAATTGCTGAGTCAAAAGTCTAGACTGGTGACTTAAGGAAAGACCTACTGACACTTATACCGAAGAAGGGAATGAAGGACATTTGGCCCTTCAGAAACCCTTTGGGATTTTGACGTTGAAGTTGATGAAAAGGTTTGAGGTCATGCTGAAACTCTTAATATATCTAAAAAAGTATTCCAAATATCTCACAAAAATGTTCGAAATATTTTTAACTAATGAGTTTTGTAAAATGTGATTCCAAAAGCATTAAATACGGTGTTATTAGGATAAGGTATAAACTAAATAAGTATAATACTTACTTTTGACATGGTAACACACAAAGGCCACAGCATTTTTCCATTCCAGTCAAATTCTTTTCAGCCTCCCGCATATCGGTGTTGATCTGGTCCATTCCATCCTCGATCCGGTCCAATTGTTCTATACAAAACATAGAAGTTAATACGAAAAATTTACCGAACATATCCGATTATAAACGATGGTGTATAGGGTCATGTAAATGTAGAGTTAGGCATGCGCATGCTTTTCTATGGTTACGATCTAATGGACTATGAAAAATTAATATTGGTCAAAAGTGTTCATTTTAGTAAGGATACAGGTTGAATGATTGTTACGTTTTGTTCACTGAGGTACGATATTTAATAGTTAAAAAAACTGCTTTTACAGAGTTTTCGAATACAAAAAGTACGGGCGGGTAAGCTAGTAGCTTGCTCATGAGCAAATCGCAAACAGTTCAAGTTTATTCCAACGAAAATATTGTTTTGACAAATAACTAAGTTCCAACATCATCATTTGGAGAACAAATTGGTACTGCCGAATCACTATAGTCAATAAAATTGAGCATAGAACAATGCACGACAGTTTAAGAGTACCAGAACGAGGAAACGAAGAAACAAAAAAGAAGTGGAAGAGAAGCAAAAAGGTTATACTAGCAACCTAGTATAGGAGGGAGAGTACCTGGTACACTCTACAACATACAAAGATAACGTTTAAGAAGAAGAACAGAAAAGAAGAAGAAACTCAAAAATACTAAGAAGGTTTCAGTTAGAAAGGAAAAAAGAAAAAGATTCCAACTTGATTCTTTAGAGAAACTCAGGATTATTCTTAGTTAACCTCTGGTAACAAGTTTTTTAAGGCTGTTACTACAACTTATATTATTTCCTTCTAATTAGAATAATCTGCTTCTATCTGATGGTGGCTACTATTGTCTTCTTCTTCGAGTGACTTCTCCTATAGAAGATCGATAACTTTGGCAAATTCTTCTCTCTTTTGGGCCTTTTTCAGGAAATCGTTCGAGCTTAAGCCTGTCCAATCTAGTATTTTATAATCAAGAAGCACTGTCTTCGCCCTGGTCTGCGTTTGCCCTCAATATTTCGATTTCAATGAACTCACGTTCTCTGCTCAATCGGTGGAGAACTTCCAAGCTGGTGGTATGAGTAGTCCAAGGTATTCGTAACACTGTTCAAACTAGCAAATTTTAGCAACCTCGCTTTAACTCCATATAACAGTGTATAATGAATGCAGCACTTCACAAAATTGCAGATCGAGGGACCTATCCCATTTTCAAAAAGTTTGCCCTGGTCATTTCAATTCGTGCTCGGATTTATAAGTCAGGATTCAAATCTCCACTGATAAAGCTGCCCAGGTATTAAAACTTAGAAACTCTGATTATCTTTGTACCATATGCATTTATGTGCACTGAGTGAATCTGATTCCGGTTTACCACTAATATCTTCATTTTTGCGGTGTTGATTTTGAGGCCCAACAGGACTCTGCAATTACAACTGTGCCATCGGCATATCTTAAGTTATTCACCTTTCAAATTTATGATCTTCTGATCCTTCAAGTGCATTTTGGAATACAATCTCAGGGTAGATGTTGAAGAGCATAGGGCTCGATATACGCAGCCCTTCTCACTTCACGTTTAATTCGAACAGCTTTTGTTAGTGTCTTTTCCAACTGTACTATTGCCATGTGGTATTCATATAGGTACTGAATAATTTTTAGGAGTCCATTGATTTTCTTCTAGAATACTTAATAATGCACTACGTTTGACACTACCAGGGCGGTTAGATAAGTAGTTAGCCTACAAAAGAAAAACGAAAATTTTGGAAAAGTGGAAATTTATTTCTCAACACAGTGTACTTTTAGCTCGATACACTTGACCCAGGAATGCTCCAACTTCTTTAACCCATCTAAAAAATACGTTCTCTTGACTTTCGTGGCGACGGTAACCTCCTCATTTATGCCCGACAAGTGCCCTTTTTAAACTTGATAACAAAAAAAGTCGCATGGAGTCAAATCTGGAGAAAACAGAGTTCGAGGCAACAGATCCTAGCCCAATTCGACCAATTTCGCCATGGCGAAGGCGGAGGTATGACCAGCACGTTGTCATGGTGGAAAAGCACTTTTTCTTCGGAAAATGGGGTCGGTTTTGCTGCAATTTGGCGTCGAATAGGCCTAACAATTCGGGGTAGTAGGGCCTTGTGACCGTTTTGTCCTTCTTCAGGAAGACGATGTATCTATATTATATACCTTGTGAATCCGAGAAAATGGTGGTCACCGCTTTTTGGCCGATAGGACGTTTCGATTGTTTCGTCGTCTCTGGTGTGTACCAGTGGATCCATGTTTCGTTGACGGTTACGAAACGACGTAGAAACTCGTTCGAATTACGCTTAAATATAGTAAAACACTGCTCTAAAGTGGTGTCATGGTTGCGCTTGTTGTCCTGTGTGTTCAAATGCTTCACCTATCGCGCGGACAGCTTTCTTATGCCCGAAATATCATGCAGCATATGCCATATGTGGTCTTTTGAGATGCTAACTGTTTCAGCTATCACGCGCACCTTCAGTTTGCGGTTTGCCAATACGAGATCGTGAATTTTTGTCACGTTATCCTCCGTGGCAGGTTAAAAGTTGTTATAGCAATTTTTGACGGTTGCCACCGAAGGAGAAGAGTCACCGTACACAGAATTCAAGCGCTCTTCGATTTCGCTGTGCAATTTCCCTTCCAAAAACAAGAATCGAATCACCGATATAGCTCTTTTTCAATTTTTTTAAAATCCACGGCCACGGCTTTCGTACGCGGTCAAAATAAAAGTATAAGTACGATTTGGCTAAAATCTTGACAGTAGCCGCCTACAAAAATGTACTACAGGATAGTATATTTCTCTTGAGATAGTGGCGCCACTGGAGCGGTGAAGCTCAGTACTTATAGGACCGCCTACATACTGTCTAAAGCTTAGAAATTATTGCATTATTTTCAAAATATATTTTTATTGCGATTAGATTACCAGCTATGTGCATATATTTGACAGAGTTCTTTTAACAGATTACAACCATTGTCTTTATCTTTCAATACTACTCGCATCAATCTACATTGGTAGTATCGTAGTATATTAGTATATCATAAATGACGTCCTTGTGTTCCTCATGTAACTATTTGCTTCTTTTTAGTTATCTACCATCTATGAAACTATATCCAAAGCAGGTCCTCAATATTTTATAAAGTCCAAGCTTTCATTCCATAGAATGTTGTATTCAGATATTTTCATGAATTACTGTGGCCAGTTATTTGTACTTTTATTTATGTTTATACTATTTGTTCTCCGTGCATTATTAACATTTCTGTGTTTTTGTGATCACCGTAAATTGTCTGTTTACGTTAAAAAATAACTCGGTTTCTTCGAGGACATCTACTACTATGTCCACCTTTCTGGCACGTTTTTCAGAAACTCGGCTATTAGAGCACTATTATATGTAAATCGCATATTGGTAATTAGTGGACCATTTAAACACCGAAAACTTTTTCGGCTGGAAAAAGTGTTGTTCATAATTCTCACCAACCTTGGGCATATGTTTCTGTTAATAATCTCCGTCTTTTCGGTCATCATCATCAATCAGCCAATCGCGTCCACTGCTGGACATAGGCCTCCCTCAGTTCTTTCCAGTGTTCTCTACACTGGGCCGCTTGTAGCCAGTTTCCCGCTACACGTTTAATGTCATCGGTCCATCTAGTCGGTGGTCGTCCTCGGCTTCTTGTATAATTTCTGGGCCTCCATTCCATAATACGTCTTGTCCACCGTCCATCTTGTGTTCTGGCTAAGTGCCCTGCCCAGTTCCACTTAAGCGTCGTGGTTCTTTCGATGACGTCTTGAACTCCTGATCTTCGCCTAATTTGTTGGTTTGTTATGTGGTCTCGAAGGCTCACGTTCAGCATTGCACGTTCCATGGCTCGTTGTGTAACTCTAAGTTTATTCGCAGATTTTTGCGTGAGTGTTAATGTCTCTGCTCCATAAGTTTGTACAGGTAATCTACAGTCTTTTCGGTAGTTAATCCAGATTTTTACTCTTCATTGCATGTATTTTATTGGCAGGTGGTAATACTTTAATTGTATAGTTAGTATTAGTATTCAACACACTTGATACACTTGAACAAGCAATGACAACCTATGTAATAATATAGAATAATATTAATTATGATGGCATTATTATTGTCTTATTGTTGTGTAGCTTGTGTAGTGTGTGATTGAATGATTCCATCTTTATATCTCGTTTCCATATTTCACATTTTCAACTGGACTTCCCTTAATTTTAATGTCATATCTGTGATCAGTAAATGCTTTATGCATATCTTTTAAAACATGTTAAAAAACACTGGCGAAAGTACAGAACCCTGACGAAACCTGATAGCTTCATTTGTCTTTTCTTCTATTTATACTACTGCTTAAGAATTTCGAACGGTATTTTGTCTGGGCTTGGACGGACTTTTTTGTCCGTATGTTCAAGGAAATCTTTTATCTATGATCTTAAGATATAAGAGATCTTCAACAAAATTTTTTCATGATTTTAGTTTAGTTTTTTTCTATATCTGTTATTTTGTCTGTGTCATATAATGTATTGGATCAATCCAGTCGTTGAATATGGTTTAAAGATTACTTAAAATCAGAAGAACACTGCAACAAACTCAAATTTGGAGAAGGGTACCAAAATGGGTCAGTTTTTTGCGTTTTTCTTAACACAGTCCTTAATTTTTGTGCTTAAAAGATTGTGCCTAGAAGACGAATGTCGTGACAAATAAGATCGAGTTAAGATCGAAATATTCTACATGTCAAGATACTCTTCAAGTTAATTCTATGAGCATCGTTGAGAGACCTGATAAGGGGTTCAACGATAATTAAGGGAGACATTATTAAACTTTGTAGAATACAAGGTATTATACAGAAAACAATAGATAACAAATTGAGTATAGTAATAATCATGCTATTAACTAAAGAAGGCATAAAAAATATACAAAAATAATAAAGAAACATATTAGCACAATATTCTTAAAAAGTTAAAATTGTTTAATTTAAGTACTTGTAAATTATTATCATTATAATATTTGACATAGCAACTGTGTAAGTCAATAACATGTTTAATG